ATGGGGAAAAAAAAGTCCACTTTCTTTAAGTTCCCGGCTGTTACTTTGTCAAGACATCATACCAGGTTATGAAATTATTCAAATCTAACCCCAAGTGTACAAAACAGATTCCTCCGTGCCATTATTTATTATACGAAGCCAAAATGGATAAACTAACTCCAGCCCTCATTTCAGCAGCTTCTAAAAGTGCCTTTAGCAGCAAGACTTTTTACTTGTCTTTATGTGTATGACTTCATCAGACTCTCACATCGGTGTGGAGGAGTATTGGCCCACTCTAGTTTACATCAGCGCTTCCGTTCTTGGAGGTCTGCAGGTATCCATGCTCGGCTCCCTTCTGGTCCCTTCACAGTGCTTCAGTCAGGTTGAGGTTTCAGTTTTACTCAACCACTGAAACGCCTCGATTCTTTTCTTTTTCAGCCATTCTGTTGTAGATCCACTGCTGAGTGGGGGTTATTGTCCCATTGCATGGTCCAGTTTGAATCAAACCAGCTGTTAGACAGATGTCCTCACATTTGACTTTAGAACAGTTTGATCTGCAGAGGAGTTCAGTCTTTATGACTGTAAGGAGCCCAGACCCTGTAGCTGCAAAACCAGTCCAAATCACCATACCTCCACCACCATGCTATGAGGTGTTTGTATGAATCAGCTGTATTTGGTTTTTACCAACCATGTTGTTGTGCATTATGGGTAAACATTTTTATTTTAGTCATCTGTCCAAAAAACATTGTTCCAAAAGTCTTGTGGTTCATTCAGATGCAACTTTATTTTTTAAAGAGGTTTCTCTTGCCATCCTTTAAGAAAACAGATCTAGAAGGTTCAGTCTTTTTCTAACACTGTCAGTATTTAACATGCTAACTAAAACCTTGACAGTCTGACATGTAGCATTGAATATCTTTTATTTCTCCATGCACTGTCTGCAGTCTGCACTTGGAGTGAATTTTCTGGGAAGTTGATTCCTGGAAAGATCAGCAGCTGCTCCTAAATGTTTGTAGACTGATGGGCAGCACTCTGAGAGCATCTCTGATGTATTTTCTAGTTGGTATTGTGTGAACACACACCTGTTTGCTTCAGAGTAGCAAACTAACTAATCTCCATCTTGGAGCCCGTCTTATTTGCTCAAGATCATTTTAATAAAATCCATCTAATCAGCAGCACCTGGCTGCTCAGTACCTCTTAAATTCTTTGGAACCAGGAATCCATGTTGGCTTTTTTAGTTTAATAATGACATGGTGGAATGTGTTTTTGTACACTTGATATTTGAAACTGGTAGATCTGTTTTGCATGATCTGATACATAAAACCCCAGACTTGAAATAGTTTGGACTCTTTTTGTTACCCATAACTGTATGCTTGAATACAAGGTGTTTCCACTCCCTGTGTGTTCATCGTTATAGACTTGCCTTTTACACCCTCTTGTGGTCATAATGTGACAACTGTCCAGAGACTAAATAAAGCACAGCACACACACCAGTCACGTCTTTACAGCAGCAATTTCAAAATTTATTGAGACTGATTGGATTTTGCAAATAATAATCAAGCTAAATCTTCCACTAAACATGAAGTTAGAAAGAGGCTTGGACAGCCTGCAGGCCGCACCAAACATCAAAATAGAAGGCTCATGGTTGACTGTAAAAGTGTTTTGTGATCATTACTATCAACCAATATATATATATTTATATATACCTGCACAAGAGCACTTAAATCTGCCCTGAACAAAACAGGTGTAAAAACTGGACTTTTTTTTTTATTATTATTTAGCACATTTTGTTACAAACACAGGATTATGATAGCAATCATTATAAAGTCAGTATCATAATGAACAATATTCCCAACAAAAAATAAACAAACCTCAAGCTTCAAAGTGTGATCTTTTACAAATTAAAGACCACCTGAAACTTGAAAGAGTAAATAAATAATATATAATCGTAATATAAATTCATATATATGAAGGTACACACACATCACTCTTAGTAGAACAAAATCTAAAGTAAAAAGCGGCAAATTTGAAATATAGTATAATATACCCATATCTATGGCTTCATGATTTTCACGTGAGTCAAGCTGTACAGGCTGAATGAGGATTGCAGTTTGTACAAGGATACCCATATTCATCTGCAGAGGAGCCAACAGTTCCAGTTTTGCATTGTGTGGAATGAGACGGTTGTGGGCAGATGCCGAAGATGTTGCTTTGGTATGACAAAATGAACATAGGCATGCAGTTAAGACCACAGAATCAGGGCACAAAAGGTCATCGCCACACTGTGGGAAGGAGAATACCGTCGCCCATCGTGATTTGTCTTCAACAAACAACATTTTTGCACCTCCGATCCGATCACCTCAATAATCTATCAGTAGAAAACAAATATTCACTCATCTCTTGGAAAACAGCCGCGCTCCACAAGCACGCGGGTGAAATGTCATTGAGGCACATATTGAGGGGCCGATGGCGGACGTTTTCCTGAAGTACAACCCGGAATGAGGAAGAGGACGTGCAGTACGGAGGTGGTGAGGAGAGGCCGGGGAGGCACGCACACAGCCAGGCGTCTCTCAGTGGCCACAGCACCACAGGACAGAGATTTGTAACCGATCGTGGGCTTCTTCCTCACCCTTTTTTTTTTTTTTTTTAACATTCATCAAAATTTATTTTTTAACTAACAAAGTAAAACTTTTTGATGGGTGAAATAAAAACACAATAAATAAAGTTCTCACACAAAAATGTATAAATAAATCTCAACTTGTGCTGAAAGCATCTTTATGCGGGGCTGATGGGAAGTGCAGTCCATAGGCCTGATGTGGGACAGCACTTGTTTCCCTTATTTTTTTTAGATAAGCTTTAAAAAAAAAAAAACACACCAGTCTGAAGGAACCCAATATGTAGCCTCATCACACTGATCTGAGTGGAGTTACTACCAGATTGTTAATTTAGCCACAAATTTAAATAAAATAAAGCTCAGTTTTAAAGGATGTAGCCGGTGCTTTCACACAGCCCTTCGTTTCCTCAATAATAAAACAACGTGCACACTTTCATCAAACTGAGACGATTAGGCTTCAAAAATCAAAACGACAAAAAGTGTTTACTGCAACAATAAATGCAAAAAGAAAACCAACGGGCTGAAATGAAATCACTTCATGTATACAAAGACCTAGATTGTTTTTGGTTCCATAGTAATCAATTAGTGTACATTAGTGATGCAAGAAAAAATACACTAAATAAATGTTCAATCAATATCTAACAGAGCAGTTGGACGGTGAAAGTGTATTCCCCTCTTAGTAAAACCAACAAACAAACAGAAAAAGCGTAACATGGCACAATAAAAGATTGATAAAAGCCCCATGGCTTGCTGTCCACAACAAGGCAAAGTATAAAAGCTTTTTTTTTGTACAAGATATAAAATATAAAAAAAACTGAAACGCACAATAAAGCTTAGCATCCAGCACTTCATAATAATTAATAATAATAACATCACAACAATAAATCATAGTTCCAATATTCATAATATTAAGACGTCATCGGCCTCACTTGAATTGTCAACTTTTCCAGAAACTGTGAAAATAATCTTAAAAAATAAAATAAAATCAGTGTAGACTGTTTATCATTTCCTTTTTTTTTTTTTTTTTTTGAATGTGGGGGGGGGGGGGGGCACTCCTTACACTCGTTCTTGCATTTAAACACTCCTCCTGTTCACACAACGTACACGGGGGGAGGAAAAGGAGAGGGAATGACTTCTCATAAATCAGAAATCCACAGATTTTTTTTCAATAAATAACTAATTAACATTAAACACTCTACAAATACTGAAAACTTTGCATTTCAAGCACAACGTTGATCCTTATCTTTATATCGCACAGAGCCGGAGAAACTAGATCACGAAAAGCAAAGTTCAACCGTGAAAAGAGTCTGCATATTCTGAGTTAAGAAACTGAAACGACATGTCTGAGGAGGGGAAAAAACAAAAACAAAAGCATGGGTTTTAAAAATTAATTTAAAAAAGGACAAAGGCGGTTCATCCAGAAGTGTGAGCGACTCGGCTCTCGGGTCGTTTTCTAACGACTTCCAGTGTGAGTGACACCGAACCCGAGACAGCGCGAGACAGTGTTAGTGTCGGCCAGGTCTACTCTGCGCTCGACTTTTGGACCAGAAAAGATGACGTCCACTTTGTTTAATAATACGTTTAAAACTCTCAAACACCCCGCGAGAGTCTTGTTTAGTCTCCCTGTCTCCCTCTGTCTCACACAGCCTTCATTATCCCTTTTTTAAATTGTATGTACATTTGTCAAATGTGTAGAATCTGCTGGAATGGATCATAAGAAACCAACTTAAAGAGAAGAAGAAAAGATTAAGGACCCCACTGAAAGACACAAGCTATATTAACAGCAATCTGCACACACACAAAAAAAAAAAATCAGTGATTTTTTTTAAATATATTGTGATAACAGTCAAGAGGACATGAAGTATATCCTTAAAGGTAGGTGCGGTCACCGAGTTGTTCAGGTAAGTAAAGATCAGGTCAAAAAATGTAAACCACGGGTTCAGGACTTTGACAGGAGTCAGTTGTCATTAAAGTGCAAGTCTGTGGCAGTAGGACTCTGCATGAAAAGTGTGCCGCTGGGCCTCCCAGTCCCCGGACACTCATCTGTTTGCAATAGATTTTAGATTCTCCCTTCATCTATTGAGGGACTCCCTCTCTCTCTATATATGGGAAAACGATACAGCCAAGGAGGGAACAAGACACCCTTCCTCCTGGCTTTTCCCCCCTTACTCTGTCTGTGATCCTTGGTTTCCATGGTGATTGTGATGGCAAACGTACAAAGTTGCAGACTATAGCGTCGGCCGCGTCCTTGGCAGCCTCCTCGCTGATTCCTGTTGCGACAGAGTAGAAAACTGCTGGACTCTGGCCTGAACCCTCGAGAAAAAGGAACACAAAAGCACTGCATCTGGAGGAAAGAAGGTAAGCAGAAAAAAAGCCTCGCAACTCAAGCCAGCTCTTGATTACTCTTCTTCTATGGCAGTCAAGCTTGAGAATAGTGTGTCTGTGTGTTTGAGAGTTACTCGTAATGATCATTGTCGTGCAACATCCTACAGCATCTCCATTCAGAGGAAGGCCTGCCCACAGGAGGACGAATAGGTAAAGAGAGCAGAGGACTCTGCCTGAGAGATCACTGAAGATCTTCAGAGATCGATCGTTGAAGCCACTGACAGGAGCCCCCGCAGCCTCTACGAGATCCACGCAAAGTCCTTCTCGCTCCCGTTCTGCTGCTCCCCCTCCTGGGCCGAAGAGTCACTCTCCTCCTTCTCATTGTCCAATGCTCTGTGCACCTCAGCGCCCATTCCTGAGTCCTTCCACTTCCCCCCGTCCTCCTCCCCTTCCCCAAGGATCTCCCCGTCCCCCTCCACCATCATCTCTTCCTCCCCTTCGCCATCACCATCGCACTCCGCCTGGTCGTCGTGAAAGCGGTCCCCGGGATACAACTCCTCCTCAGGAGAGATGTCCCCGCCCGCCTCCCCGTTGTGGTCGAGCAGCGCCGCCATGCCCCGGCCTGAGCAGTCTGTGCAGACGCCATGACGACGGGAGCCATGCTTGATTCCAACACTGGCTGCAGACATGAAGACCCGGCTGCACACTTTACACACGTACTTCTTGTCTTTGCTGTGGACCTGCGGGATGGAAACACACAAGTTCACATTATTAATTTACACTCCAAACAGAGGTGTGATGTGCAGCCCTTCAAGGGGGGGTAACCATGATGCGCTCACCAGCGTGTGCCTCTTCATGTGCTCCCGTCTGGTGAACTTCTTGCCACAGATTTCACATGGGTATGGCCTCTCACCGGTGTGGGAGCGCATGTGCCTCTTAAGGATGCACTGGTGCATAGCAGAAAAACTGCAGTAGGGGCACTTGAACTTTTTACGGATCACCGTGAAGTCATTCACTGCAATGACAGAAAGGAGGGAGAGGGGAGAGAAAATGTGGGGGGAGGGGGGGGGGGGGGGGGGAAGAGATTAGTTTAAAAGAAACTCATTGAGTAAAAAAAAAAAAAAAAAAAAGAACACGACGTCTGTTTTCAGTTATTGCATTTAATTAGCAGCATGGGCTAGAAATGTAACATCAATTCCCATGGTCATCCCAATCCCAGTCAAAGCTACAGTTGCCCTGGCAACAGCTCTTCCTTCATACTAAAGCAATAAAGGCATAGAGATACTATAAACACATGGCACAACAGTGAGTCTGCCTTGGGTTGCTCTAGAAGGTCTTTACAATGAACAGGAAAAAACAGACAGAAAGGCAAACACAGACAAGAAAATCCAATCACCTACACAAAGGGAGGGACACTGAATTACTCAAAGCAGGATTATTAATATGATATTAATATGAATATATATTAATATGAAAGATCAAGGCTAGATTTCTGACAACACACTGCACACAACTAGTGCACATAAAGGAGGGGCGTTAAACACACAAGGAAGAGTTATAAGGTGGCACAAAGAAATTACCTCCAACTGCTTCTGCTCTGATCAAACAAACGACAACACGTCAACAAAAAGTACAAAAGAACACAAAAACTGGGCGACAGCGTCAGACATACAGACTGTGAAATATTGATATGAATGCTTTTGTACAATATACAAATATAAATTTAAAAAAGACGACTGAAGCAAATTCTATATTTTGAATCACAATTTATTCACATCATAAAATCTACAGAGATTCTGTTTAAAAAAAAAGAAAGAAAAGTACAGATCTGTGAACAGTACATGGGTTTCAGTGATCCAATATTTAATCTAGCTTCGCGTAGCTTTCTGTTCTTACGTCGACACTTACTGAAAATCAAAAGCACCGCACCACAGTCAGACACTATCTCCTACGTCTCTTCAAGCGCTGCATATTTTCTCGTTAGTTCCTGAGATCCTTCAACCTGCCTGTCTGTGTCAGCGGCTGGCTTCGACTGAACAGGCTACCTGAAAATGGGGGTTTTATGATGCATTTGGCATTTGAGAGTTTCTCTTACATATATAACTTACATGCACAACTGCAAATGGGCAGAATCCCATTGGAGTCAAGTTTATCTTTTTTTTGGAGCACCTAAAAAGGTAAAGGCAGATGTCTGCTCTTTTGGGTACAGTCATCACGATATGGGTGTCAGTAAATGGGTTAACTTGAGAGAATAATTTGTTGCACCATGTCTGTAAACTTAAAGCCAAAGATTTTGGCAGAAATGGGCGTAAATTTACATTCATAATAATCATAAAGCCTGTGCTGTGCCCAACCCATCAACACGGTCTTCACCATCCCCCTCATCCTCTCACATTTTTCCCCACTTGATTCCTCGTTTTTTTGCCCTGAGCACACAACCACACCATTATCGCTCGGCAGGCGTGACATCACTAAGCTCATCTGGTTTAAAAGTCCTCTGACCCCATCAGCCATACTTCCTCTTCAGATGTAGGGTCAGAGGTTAAGAGGGGCCGGAGCCGTGAAGGACCAATTACTGTCCAGGTCCTACCTCACACAGCCGCTACAAGACTTACAAACCTGGGACAGAGAAGTTGGTCAGACAAAAACAAAAACAAATAAATAAATAAAAGAACGAAAATGACACCACCCAACCCCCATCTGAGCTGCTACCGTCCTATTGTTTTAGCAGGCTTTGTCTCGTTCCGCACATCCATCTGCGCCGATCTGACAGCTCTGACTGAGTGAAGTCATGTCAGAAAGATTGAAAAGATTTGCTGCGTCTCTCGGATGTGACACAGAACTCCTTTGTCATTTATGCTATTTTTAATTCTTTATTTAAACTGCTCTTGTGCTACTGCAGACAATTTGGAAGCTTGATTCCGATTTCTCACTGCAATGCTGCAGAGATCCTGCAGGTGGAGTGGTTGTTCGGGGCTGTGAGCCACAGACAGGTATGAACTCTGAATGGCTTGTGTGCTGATGCAGGGGTGGTCGGAAAGATTAAGATCACTCTGCCTAAAAAGGACCCAAAAGTCAGAACGGTGAGTGGCGACAGAGAGTGTTTTAAGTTTAAGAGGTGGGAAAAAAACCAACCACCCCACACCTCTCCATTCGGCACTGCAGTTTAAAGTAATTCATCTGGTTATGGGTATAATTGTAAATGGGTATAATTGTAAATGGGTATAACACATTGCATAAACTTTTGGTCAAAAGCTCCTTCAGTCAGATTCATTTTGCATAGCACCTGTGCATTTCTGACAAACAAGGTGTTCCCTTCACAGTAATATTAACATATTCAACAAGTTGTAAAAAATATGGGTCACACTTTTGATTGTAAAAGTGCATAAACATCACAAAGCTGTTTGGCATTAATGTTAAACACAAAGTGAAGGAACATTGCCAACTGAACAAATGGGTATAAAATTGTGTTTCACAGGCTTTCCACATCAATACTGCTGTTAAAACCGTCAACTTTCATGTGCTGCGTTAGCCGCCACAGTGGATCTGTAAGTCCACTCTGAGACATTTCCATCCCAGTGCTGCCTCCCAGTATAGCTGCTGGCAGCAGCCCCACCTGGCAGCACACTTTAACGTGCGTTGCCAGGTTTTTCTGGGTGCTAAAAGCCTTGGCGCAGGCCGGGCAGGTGTGACCTCTCTCTCTGGAGTGCACGGACGACAGGTGCCTGTGCAGATCCGTGCGGTCTCGGAAGTGTTTCAGGCAGTACGTGCACTGCATCAGCTTCTTCTTGAAGTGGATGGTCTTCTCGTGTCGGTCCGCGTTTGATTTGAGGGTGAAGCTGGCAGGGCAGTGGGAGCAGAAGTAGCGTGCTGGCGAAGGGTCACCCACTGCGGGGCGGAACAGGGACTGGCTAAAGTAGGGGGATTGAGGCTGTGACTCGGGACGGGGCTGGACAGGTTGGTGGACGCTCGGCCAGTCCAGAGACAAGGCCATCAAAGACAGGGTGTGGTGGTACTCGTGTTCCCTGAGATGCTCCAGGCTGCCGAACAGCCGTTTGCACAGGGAGCAGGCCAACCCCTGCGAGGAGCTTGCACCATGCACTGGCAGGACTCTTTCCCCTAATCCAGCCTCTTCACCCATCACGAGCAGCCCCTTAGTTTCTGTGCCAGCCATGGACACTGACGCAGGCACCGACAAGCCTTCGCCCATCTGATCCCTCTCATCGGGAGACTGGTCACCTTCCAAGATGGAAACAGTGAGAAAGAAGGCAAAAAATAAATGCACAGGAAAGTGAAGTACAAGAATACACACGCAAGTCATTGAAAATTTTCAGTTCATACCTGTGCCGCTTTCTTTCATCTCTTCTTTGTCTTTTATGTCCTCCTGTAAGAACAGAATATCCCGTTATGTCTCTGCCCCACACACACACACACACACACACACACACACGCACACACACACACGCACACACACATAGTCTGTAAGGAATGTTGTCTGGGCATGCAAGAGGCAGGAAGGTGTTACAAGCTGTGAAAGCAACTTTTTTCACTTGCAAAATGCACAGAGATAAAGTTCTGAACGAAGAAAAAAAAATATATATATACAATATATGTATATGAAGGTCATGAATATTTAAAGAAAATTTGAGATGAGAGAATAAACAAAAAGATGACAGTTTAAAGATGCTGCAGTGGTCTGGTGGGACGCAGACCGAGCTGCTAGCTTGATCTACAGTGTTAATAACATTATCTACCTGATACTCATAAAACTCTTTCCCATTCTTAAACCACCTTTGCACCCCAGTTAAACTTTACCCCTTCCATTATCCACTCTGTGCCTGTGCCATTCCTTCGCCCACCCCACCTCCACCCATTTGTTTGGCTCCTGCTCTCCTCCTCCTCTGTAAGAACAGAACACCATGCACTGGGAAACAGATGGCTTGTGGAGCCAACCACTCGTGGAGATAGGCAGGCTTGTTGGGAGGCAGGTCCTCTGAAATCAAATGCTGCTCCTAAATGTTCACCCGCGCACACGCAAACTGGCACAAAAACACACAAATATGCCTGTCTGCACACACACACACACACAGCAGAACAAACAATTTCCTGAGCTGAGAGACCAAACCAGTCTTTGTCTTCAAGTATTGATTCTACTCCCATCTCATCACACTACCTTGCTATCTATAAGCACACGCTGTCAATGTGGCTTGAGGTGTCATCTCCCATGTAAGTGCTATCAACTACATTACTGCTAATGCTATGCAACGAAACCTGGCTTTAAGGCAAATTCAAGTAGAGTTTTATTAAAAGATTATCAGAGGAAAAAAAGATGAGAGAAGGGGACAAATCTGAAAGAAACGGAAAACAAAAAGCTTAAAGAAAGGCAAAAGGACAGACTTCATCACTCCAGCGCAGCAGGAAATATGTCATACAATGAATGAACAGAGAGGGGTTGCAGTGCGGAGAAATTGCCCTGGGAAGGTGGTATCTCACTGCGCTGTGACTGATGACACTTGTCGATTACAACAAATTCCTTAAAAGTACTGTAGGTGGAAATGTGCAACTATTCTGCTGCGGTCTCACTGAACTCAGTGTTTGAGCTCAGAGACCAACAAGTCGAATTGCCAGTTTATGAAGATCCCGGCCTGTTTTGTGTGCGCAGCTTGGAAAACTGTATTCTCGGCCACGCACATTATTTTGTGTCCCACCTCAGTTCCCTTTATGCCTACCTCACAGCTGCTCCCACATTTATGATTTATTCTCATTGAGTAAATTTCTGACATGAAGAGAGGTAGATTTGGACCAGATTTTTAACAGATTTATCAAACCTGGACATTTGCCTTGAATGTTTTCTGTCAAAGAAGAGCAGGTCTCAAAATACAGAGCTCTTGAATAAGTGTCTTCAACAGTGAAGTAGAAGACACTTGCGATTAAATTTGGAGGGATTTGAAATGAGTTGGAGACGCCCACGACAACTTTGTGACTACTTTGAGAGAAGAGTTGTTGCACAAACTT